GCTCTGGGGCAGTGTGCCAGGGACCTGGCTGTTCTGCTGGAAGCTGGGCCATCCTGCTTGGCTCCCAGGGGCTGAGGACGAGGCGCTGGAGCGGTGGCTGGGAGGAGATGGGTGCCTTGCCTTCCCATGTGTGCTCTGCCTGGCATCTCGGGACTGGGATGACTCGAGACCTGAGGGAAAACCGCTTTCCCTAAACGTGATCGTATAGCAGGGATCCTGGAGAAGGGAGTCAGTGCCAGATCTCTTGCTGGGTTCTATTGGCCAAGCCCAGGGTGTAGCCTGCCTTGTACTATCCCTGTTCCTGCCAGGGTGATGCCACCAAGGCAGGGGCTGGCAGGAAAGGATGATGGTGGAAAAGGTACCCAACTCTGCTATTCCTCCCCCTCAGTCACCCGCTGTGGAGCATGCCTGTGTTATCGGCACCGAAACCGTGACTCTGGGCCTGCCCTCCTGGCTCTGGGCCTGCCTGCAGCTTCCCTGGGAGCAGACTGCAACTGGTGCCTCCCCTTAGAAGCTGAATGCGCACCGGCCGGGCTGCCCCAGACGTGCTGGTACAGCACAGCAAGGCCTGTCAAAACAGGCATCCTCCAGCGTTTGCAGGCCAGAAAATACCTGCGTTCTGAAGCCTGGCTTGGGACAGGGAGCACCGAGCGCCAGTGCTGACCTGAGGCTGGTGTAACTTGGCCCTGGTGCCTTGAACGTCCTTGTGCCTTGAGCTGCTGGGGTGTGGTTTCGATCCCGCGTGACTGCTGGCCGTCTTGCTTGTGGGGCTGTGTGTGCCTGGTGTGTCCGAGCACCGGGCCAGCTCAGCTCTGCTGCATGGGACTTGCTGCTTCTCTCCGGCCTGCCCTGAGTTGCTGCAGTGCGAGTAACTCCTCTTTTTCCTCCTCTTCCCCAAGGTCCCAGTGATCCCTGTGGTGTATTCCTCCTTCACTTCCTTCTATAACCCAAAGAAGAATCTATTTACATCAGGTACCAAAGCGCCCGAGGGCCTTTATCGCTCGGAGTCGGGGTTGCTGCCGTATCGCTGCGGAGACGGGGTTTAATGGGTGTGGGAGGGAAGCGGAGCTGGGGTGAGCAGGAGTCGTCCCTCAGAGAGGTGTGTGGAGCCAGTTCAAAGCACTGCGCACCGCAGCCGGGGCTGGGTAATCCAGGATAGAGTGAGGGATGGTCTCCTTAAAAATCAGATACCATCTCTCCGAAGTGGCACAGCCCAAGTCCTGTGGTGAGGGCGGGGGGGAAGAAGCCTGTTCTGCCTCCTGACCCTTCCAAGCAGGGACCTCTCTGCAGGCAGACCAAGGAAGCTGGTGATGTCAAAGCTCCAGAGTCTGTGCGAGCGCTGGGCAGGAAGCTGGCTTTCAGGCAACTCTCCCTTCTGGGAGGAAGCCATGCTCCCTGCCTGGGCGGCAGGAGCCAGCCGGAGGTTGGCCTGGAGCAGAAGGAGGGAGCACCTGGTGTAGGCTGTGCCCAGCACGGCCTGGAGCTGAGGGGGTCCCTGGGCTCCCCCTACTCCTGGCCAGCAGGTCGGGGCAGAGCAGTGACACCGGCCTTGGAAAGGGGCACGCACTGGTGGGGGTGTCGGTTTGGGGCACGAGGGAAATACTCTGCTTGGGGCTGAGGTCTGACCCCCAGAGCAGTTACCCCGAGAGTAACTGCTCTGCCTGCGCTCTGGGGATGGATGTCTGAAGGCCCCGAGGGGCGGGGGAGCAGGGGTCCTGGGAGGGCAGAGAAGTGCTCCTGTGGTGTGGTGGTTTCTTACAGACTCTTCTCTTGTTCCCAGGTAAAATCAAAGTTGAGGTTCTGCCTCCAATAGAGACCAAAGGCCTGACATCAGACGATGTCTCCGACCTCACTGACAGATGTTTCCACACCATGAGGGAGACCCTCCTCAGGCTGTCAGGCAGGCCAGGCGCGGCAAAGGACTCGTCCTAGATGCTTCTCCGATGGCGTCACCGTGTGGTGGTGGCTGAAGGGACCTGTCTTGCCAAATACCGAAGGAACTTCTCTTCCTCTGCAGTGACTTCTGACTCTGGGAACACCACGGACTGGCACACGTGGGGTGTCGAGCCAGCGCTGAGGTTCCCCAGTGAGTGGATTCTTATGGGTTCATTATCTCGCAATGAAACGTCTCCTTTTTCTGAATTTCTCAGGCATCACACTTGTGTTACCAAAGGGCTCAGTGACCGGAGAGGTGAGTTCCCCCAGCTCAGGCAGCCGGCGTGGGGTGCCAAGGAAAACCTGGCTGGAGGCTGGGCTCTGCCTCACCCGAGTGTCCCTGCAGGCTCGGCTAGTGCCAGCCCGGCCTAGCGCTGTCCCGGATGGAAACCACCGGGCAGCGGTTTGAATCTGCACAACCTTCCCGCTGCTCAGAGAGGGCTGAGGATCGGGAGAAAAGCCAGACTGGCTCCTCAGCAGCAGTGGGAGCGCGGTGTGCTCCCCGGGCAGCCCGTGGCACTGCTGCCCAGCACGGGGGAGCTGTCTCTGGGGCAGGGCCTGTCTCCTCAGAGGTGCCCTTGTGTCCCAGCAGCATCTTGTGTTGGGGCTTCATGCTGCTCAGGTACTCCTGAGACAAGTCTTTCCTTTTCCAAGGCAGCACCAAGGGCCAGTAACCTCAGCTGGGCTGCAGAGGGCAATGCGTGGGGCCCGTCAGCCTTCCCGTGTCTCCTCGGGCTTGATCGCCTTGTCCAGACAAGCGCTCTTGCCCCCTGGGGGGGTGAGGAGCCGGTGTATGTGGTCTGGGCAGCGTCTGCCACCCAGCCTTGCCAGTTCCATCACTTGAACTAACACCCCATCCTTGTTTCTACCGTTCAGAGCCACCAAAGTCCTTTTAAAACCAGGGCAAACCTGTCCTCAGGCAGGACTTCTCGTGGCGCGGCTCTGGACACGTGTGACGTGCGCTGGGTTCGTCACCCGCCGCCGTGGTGGTGGCTGGAATCCTGGCGCTGTGGATGCGAAGGGGCTCCCTCGTGCTCCTTTTGCCGCTTGTCATGGTCAGCGCTGGCCGAAAGATGGTGCCTGTCCCGCGTGTCTGTGTGGGCCCTGGGAGCTGCCGCTCTGCGAGGCTGGTAAAGCTCTCCTCAGCTGCAGGGCGGGTGAGCTGGGGCTGGAACGGGGCTTGGGAGGCTCCGGCTCTCCCTTTTGGGGGACAGGGGCTCCTTCCCTGTTCAGATCAAGAGGTTTCCCCTGTGCTTCCCGGTGACAGCCCCTAGATCCCTCGCTGGGGCTGCAGATGCCCTCAGTGGAGAGCAGGGCTGGGCCAGGCCGGCGGTTCCGGGGGTAACCTTCCCCT